ATGTCGAGAAAGATGATGTTCAGATGATCGAAATCGGTAATGAGACCTGCGCGTTTGGTTTCGGAAGCGTATGGGAAACTTTTAATGCTTCCACATGCAGTGAGCTTATACATGCAGTGAGCTTATACACAAAAAAATGCCATTATTATCTGTTCTTTCATCAAACATATCAATATCGTCGAAGGAGCATTATTGAAATTGCTGCTTCTTTCGGACTTCGGATCCACAAATTATAGATTAGACCATAACCGAAAACTTGAATTTGTGCTATGGTGTTCGGTGTGTCTATACTAGCATTCATGTAAACTAAATACTTATTCCTATTAGTTAGGACCCGTCCATTAACAACTCTATTTTAAGTTTTTTTCAACCCTTTTTTCTCTAACAAATCCGAGATATAAGTACACAGAGGGGGGTCCCGTGGCGTAGTTGGCTACACGTTTGCTTCTCAAGTGGATGGTCATGAGTTAGATTTCCATACAAACCCCCCCCCCCCCCATTGGTAGCAGTACGGAAAACAAGATCGACGGAAAATAAATCAAAGGAAAAAAAGTCAGTAAATAATGCAATTTTGAAAAATAAGAAAATGTTGAACTCAATTCCCCCGATAAATAATAAACCCTTACGTAATAAGTACATGACCCCTTACATGTATGAATTTATTTGAATCTGAAGTTTACACTTGCCCTGAAGTTTTTAGAAAAAAAATATAGTTAAACTTAAAACTGCAAAACTACAATACTTCCCCCCTTTATAAAGAGAAACAATAATTTACTGTATGTATTGGTACTCCTGCACCAAAACCAATACATACGTTCAAATCATTTATGCATACTTATACATACAAAGGCTAAATCCAATCTGATTTGCACCTTAATATATTTGTACTACTATTTGAACTGCTCTGTATTTGAGGACCTCCCTCAGGAGCCCCCTACTCTAAAAAAAAAACTCTGTATTAAAGTGACATCCTTCCGAGACCGGTCGTCTTATCGGGAACCTCTTTTTGAGGCCCAAAATTATCAACTCTGTTATTTGGAGCATCCCCTTTTGGAGTTCCCAGAGATGAACCAGCCGATGACTGAAAGTCTCTTTAATAAAGATAGAAGAAGAAATGGTTATGCTAAGGTTTGTTGATCGTTGTTCCATTTGATTCACGAGGTCTACTCATTTTTAGGCGAATATTGAACAGTTGGTGAGATAGAACAATTCAGCAATAAGTTCAACTCATTTTAACGCAACATCGTCCACGTGCATCCACGGGATAAATGAGGATGAATGAAGAAGGGCCCGCCCTCTTTTCATAAAATGTTAAAGACAGAGAGTTGGCATTTCCACTCTCCCCATCCATTTTGCTTCAATCAGGTGCCCTGGTTTAAAACAGCACTTTCGCCTTTCTTTTCCCACATAGCACTGTAAACCCCCATCAACGACGAAACACACTCTAACTGCTCCAACTATAGGGATCTCGGCAGAGAAAAAAGGACTGCGTCCAATTTCCATCACCAATCACTCGAGACACAACGGCTTCAATTCGTCAGTACACAGTCTGTAAGACACAGCACTAGCTTCTCACCGGCCGAATCAACTCGCGACCAACACCAAAATCAGAACCAACAACTCCAGTGACCGAAAACAAACGCGTCTAACAGAGGCCACGGAACACTTCGATTGCATTTCTGAAATACATACTCAACGCACAAACACGATCGGGAGGTGGAACGCCAATATGTAGCAGCAAGGGAACAAAAAAGGCACAGAGTACGGCACGAGCTGAACTGCTTACGTTGAAAGTCAAACGCGAACATGTTGTCATCAAATAAAATATTATGCTGAAATACATACATTTTAAACATTATACACCACACACACCGCAAAAAATGAAAACGACAATAGTTCAACGTTCTACAATATTCTACTTTATCGACTTCTACTTTACCGACTCTAAAAATGAATAGACATTATGTCAAAACTGCCAGAACTGAGCTTACACATGTTTTTTTTACACGGTAATCGCAAAATACCCAATAATGACTACAAAGTAAGCATTTTCGAGGGAGACTGGGACTACCCATTCAATGAGTAAATATATTACCTATTTATGAGTATTTGCTACTCACAAATGAATACTTACTACTTCTTTTTGTAGTTGTAATTACTCATAAATGGGTAAAATTTTACTCATTTAATGGGTAGTCCCAGTTTCCATCGAAAATGCTTACTTTGTAGTCATTATTGAGTATTTTGCGGTTACCGTGTAAGGTGATACTGTAAGGAAGCCTTAGCGTGAAACTTTAAAGGCACAATTGTCAGCTTCCACAAAACATACAAATTTGAAATTGCTACTCCTTGTTTGCTGCGCTACTACAAACAGAGAGTAGTAATTTAAAATTTGTATGTTTTGTGGAAGCTTTCATTTGTGCCTTTGAAGTTTCACGCTAAGGCTTCCTTAGAGTATCACCTTAATGCGTCTGATTTGGGATTAGATGCGTCGCGATTTGGGATTGGACTGTTGGGGTGCGTTGCTGCCGTTGTCTTCCCCCGATCTCACTACGCGACGATTGTTCTCATATATGAGGCTGGTTGATAGGATGAAGTCACAACTATTGTTTTCGATGTTTACCTTTCTGAGCAAGCAATTCACATCGTATTGAAATGCAAAACACTTTAAATCCATCTGTTTTGAACAGTAGTGTGATTCATTGTGCATTACACTTGAATAGATAGTGAAAGGTTTTCAACATTTCAAAATTTGCAACACTAGAAACTAACGTGTATAACACATTGAATCTAGGAATGTGATTGTGCATTTAAAAAAAGACAAGAGTTCGATCAGACGTGTAGAATTATTTGAGTGTACGGCCGCAAATTAGCATCAAGTTATTATCCGCATAAGCATATTATCCGGAATAATTCTTTTGCGGAGCTGAGTCTTAAAATGTGATCAAGGGAAACATATAATGGGATTAAAGACAAGTGTTTCATATGTAAGAGAAGAACTGGTTGAATTTCTGCCCCTAGAGTTGAGTTCGGAAACAGTCAGAGCAGATCTTCTAAGGGTGAGAAAATTGCCATGACAAAGACAGCTCCAACCGGTATTATCTTCGGATTAAATTCCAACCAAGATGGTCCGGCTGTTTTGATGTCGACATCAGAGTTAATCAGCATGACTCTAAGTAAACATTTTTCAGATCATCCAAACAGGGACAGTATTAAAAGTTAATCCGAATTGGAGCTTACCGCCATAAGCGATTAAGCATGCCAGAATAGTAGATTTATTTCCAGATGAGATCGTGTTCTGAAAAACGGGAAGGCACTGTATGTTGATTTTTTTTTAATTATCGGAAAATCAGGGAATTTGATTTTCTTTGTTGAGTTGACACCTTGATTTATTCAGAATCGTCAAAATTTAACGGAGCTCAATGCATTTCAGGGGTTTGAAAGGGTTATTAGTTGTTTTAAAAATTTTATATGGGATTTCTACTTATTTTAGGCCAAAACTAAAAAAATCGTGCCAATCGGCTCTGGTTAATTATTAATTGTAAAAATCGCAAGATGGCAATACTGCAGACGTAAACAATTTGATCTCAGCATTTTGTTGTACTTAAAGATAGAAGGATAAGGTCTTCAGCATACTTACAGATTTGAACAACTTTCAAAAATATACCAACAGTCTATATCGAATGGATCATTTTTAAAAACTTGTAATCTTTAAAATTCAATATCTCCTTTTTTCTCGTTATGTGATTCATATAAACACTTTGGCGTCATCAAATAAAAAAGTGGGGGTATTTTGAGATATTTACGTTTAAAGTTTTCAAATGAAAACATCGCAGAGTTGACAACGCTGTAGACAAATAACGATTAAATAATCTGATTGTACGTTTAAAATGCTCCAAAAAGCGGACTCAATATAGCTTGTATCTTTATTGGTTTCAGAGATATGTAAACATGAAAATTGATGTTTATTAAAAATCGTCAAAACCGGGGTTTACTCCTCTGGCTATAACAGACATATCCGGAAAAAGGCTTGATTTGTTCAACGAGCAAGGACCATTGATCATATTTAATGAAGCAGGGATGGCAAACGGAATCATCAGAATAGCTTACCGTCTAACAGCACACACCAGGAACTACGCAAGCCGAAACCATTACGACAGTGTAGTTCAAATTATTTCATCCGCACGAAGATCCCCTGCAGGTATTCAAATCAATGCAAACCAAATAGAGTATGGAGTACCCAATGAACAGATAGAAATTTGGCAAAGAAGCCCGAGAGTTGAGGGGAATCAAAAAGTCACAGAGTAGAAACTAATAAAATTCGCGAGCTAGAACGTGAGGGGATGTGCTTCAGAGTAAAAACGGAATCAGGTAGACGAAGCGCTAACTTAACAAGGTGTGTTAATAGTCGCAATACAAAGAAACATGTCTATCAGGCTGCAGTATATAAACAGAAAACTTTTACTGGTACAATTCAAATGACGACGATGCGACAAGACCAGGAGAAGGAGAAGGCACTTCGATAGTAGTAGCGAAAATAATACATGCGTGTAATCAGTTTAAAATGGTCAGCTCAAACTCTTGTTCATACCTCAGCAATCATCTGGGCGAAAGTATTTCTATTCATAGCAACATATGTAAGACCAGTACAATCCGCTGACAACGGAGAATTCGGCGATATCTCTCAGGACTTCAAAATAGTCTCCAAAATAGAATCGTAACGTATATTTTTCTCATTATTAGTGTGACTAAATGTTATTATTCTTAGCGTCATTATAACTATTGCTAATCAGCGATGTTCAATGAAATCCATAGGTTGGAGGGGCATCTGGCCGAGCTAGATGAGTGCTAAGGATGGCATCTTGTACTTGACCCTACCTCCTCCTACCGGGATCACACCACTGTTATCAATGGTTGCACATTTTTACAATAAGTAATTTTTTTTTATCAAAGAAAAACAGATCTAACAAAAACAATATTTTATTCATTATCATTTATAGGTCATATTGGGTGACTTCAACGCACACATCGGCATTCAGGACATGACGGAAGAAGACAAACTATATATTGGAAGCAATCTCTTCCACCAACAGTCAAATCTCAATGGCCTGGAACTGAAGAACGTGATACACGGCTTGTGTTTGAAAAACTACCTCACGTATTCAAAGTCTCCTTCAGTAAAAGTAACATGCTTCAAAAGACGAAGCGACTCCCAGATTGGCCACTTATTGATGAGCATCTTTGCATTTGTAGTTTTTCCGCGAATTAAATGCTTTTACCATCGGGACAATATCAGCGACCACAAAATGGTCTTAGGCGAACTTAAAAAAAAAAGTAAACCCCAAAGTTCAAGAACCCCAAAAGCCCCTCATCCAACAAAACGGCGAAAGCTTAACTTAGACGAACTCAAAAATTACGAAGAGATAAGTGACAGATACCAAGCCACACTCGACCGATAGCTCGCATCGGTCCGGCAAGGAAACTTGGAGTCAATCGAGCGAAAATGGAGCTCTCTAACAAAAGTGATAACAGAATCTGCAAATCGTATTCTCCAAGCGTCATTATCGCCAATGACACCGAGACGGCAAGAAGCCTGTCGAAAATACACGGAAGCACACCAAAAGCTGCTGAGAGACCGGATGAACGCGGATTTGAGGAAAGCAAGTAATGCGACGAGGAGACAAAAACAGGAGGCTTTCGACCAACATTTTGACGAGAAAGAAAACAAGTTCTAAGAACAAACTAATAATGAAGGTTCCTGCGATGGTAAAAACCTTCAGATTCCCCAAAACGCATCGAAGGAGAGAAGAAAAAGTTCGAGGAAAATTCATCAATATCAGGATTTGGGAGATAGCGTTGAGACAGCAAACATCTCCAGAAACATTAGAAAACCTTCCAAAAGATGACGGATTGCGTTCAGGCCCTGCACCAACTAGGATGGAAATAGAAAACATCATTAGAGCTATGAAGAACAACTCAGCACCTGGATCGGACGGAATCGCCGCAGAGCTACATAAGGGGTTACGCCTACCTGCAAACTTTCAAAAAATCGATTTTTTTTTATTGTCCTAATCGAAAGTATATAAAGTCAAGAATATTTCCTCAAAAGACGTACAAAAATATTCACTTATAGTGGACTAAACCCAACTTGAAACTTTAAACGCGATTATCTCGGAATCATATTTTCAAAACCGGTGCCAAAAATTTCTAGAATTGTATACATTCGATTCGTCTGATTCGTTTTGATTTCTGTTCAGTACTATTTTGTGCAGTCCACGATCGTTCGGATTTCGTCTAGCATTTAATTTCGATTTTTTACAGCCGATCAAAGACAAATTTTAAGGATCAAAAATCGGCACTTCAACTTTGCAAGGCCGCCATTTTGTCAAAAAAAAAAAAAAAAAAAAACCGAACGATCAAGGACTAGTGTAACACATGCTTAACGATTTAGCATGTTTTTTTTTTTCATTTCAGATGATTACATCACAAACCGCAGTTGGCACCGCAAAAAGCGTTTTTTAGAACATCGTCCACTGGGAGCAGCCGTGCGGGGCACCAGGACCTCGTTTTTACAGCATCGACTGATAAATGTACCATTTAATGTGTGTTCAATAAACGGCAGAAAACCGATTTTCAATATGTTGCGTCGTTTTCGAGAAAAAAAAATCCAAACTTTTGCTTTTTTTCGGTCTTGCAGGTAGGCGTAACCCCTTAAGTATGGAACAGAAGACGCAATTGATGCTATAACCGACCTAAAAGCGGAAGTATTCAACACCAATGAAATACCCTCATCTTTGTTATCGACAATTCAAATACCAATCCCGAAAATTTTAGGTCCGCAGTCAACCCATGACTACCGCAGGATGACATTGTGCTCAACTGTCTATAAAATTTATGCAAGAATTTCGCTCGACAGATTGGAGTGACAATTGCCTCGAATACCATCGTATCAAATGGCGTTCCAGGTGAAAAGGAGTGCAGTGAACCAAATTGTTGTACTGCGAAGATTGCTGGATGAGAGATGGTAGAAAGATGAACCAACAATAATTGTATCCTCAGATCTAAAACAAGCCTTGACAGAATCGATACTACGAAGACCGCAGCTTTTTTGATGTCTTGTCTTACGGAGGAAACATCATTGCAATGGTTGGGACAAAGGACTCAATCAACCCCAAAAACAAAGGGCATAAAACAAGGGTGCCCATTAAGCCCTTTAATATTCATAATAATGATGCATAGCGTACTGTCAGCGTTACGCGAATTTAAACCGGAGTTAAATGTGGAACAGATTGCCAGCATAATCCTGCCACTAGTCCTTGCATATGCTTGATGACCTTCTTTTCTTATGCACTATAATTGAGGATGTGGAACGCATAATCGCTACACTGGAGGCGCTACTTGTATCTCTAGGATTGGAGATCAACACCGAGAAATCTAAAGTGCTGTTCAGAGATCCCTTCAACACGAAAAATGTGGCACCTGAGGAAACACAAAAAGCGGTAGTGACGAAACTAAAATACCTAGGGGCATACATTACCAGCAGCTTGACGGCAAAGGAGACTACCAGAGAAAGAATAAGAAAAGCATATAGTGCTGCAGACCACAGCATCCGATGGGCAACGATCAAAAAGTTTTGCCATACGCTAATAATTCCGATCGTAACGTACTCAATGGAAGTTGCGACTGTTCTAAAAAGCAACAGAAATTCTCTCCGTAGAATGGAAAGCTCTGAAGGCTCTTAGTTTTGAAGCAAGACAGCGTCTTGACAACATATAGGTTGGTTGGTTGGTTGGTTGTCTTTATTAAGGAGATTTTCAGCCAGACGTTGGTTCATCTCCGAAACATAGAGGTATCTACCAATGAAAGCCCAGAACAACCACCACAAACTGTTATCGATAACTCACAAAGTGCAAAAAGGCAGTCCCAACAGCAAAGAACTGGGAAAGCACACGATCAACAATAACATTAGAGTGGCGCGGCTAAACTACTTTGGACATGTGGTAAGGAACACATCCCAAGGAATACTAGGGAAAGCTCTCAATTTACGTGTGCCTGGAAAAATGAAACTAGGACTATCCTGTTTCACGTGGAAAACGAGCTTCAAACAGATCTTCGAAAGAAGCAACAGAACAGCGGAGCATTGGTCAGTCCGCATCGTGCTCTCTTGCCGTGCGGATCTATTTGCTTTTTGCTTAAGGAAGTGCTACTACTACCTAAAGCTACAACAAATTTAAACAGCACTTTTCAGTGCTCAACCTGTAAAATTTTTCTACCTTGTTCAACTCTTATTCCTCTTCGATCCTTGTTTGGACCCTACCCGAGGTAATCCTTCTTGGATATCGATTTGGAAAATTCCTCTTCGATCCTTCAGATTCTTATAGTAATCTGCTTGGAAGTCGATTTGGATAAAAATTTACTGCCGCCATGGCGCCTAAACGCAAAAGAAAGGGGCAAACTCTTGACCCCCCTTCTGATGAAATTAATTTGAGTAATCAATTTGATTTGCTCACGGATGATGAGAATGATCCATCATCCAAGAAAAATTCTAGTAAACTTTCCCGGCTTAATGCCAAGAAGGAAAAGATTCCCCCTATTGTGATAACCACTTCCGATTTCCATGCTCTTCGCATGGAACTTTTGAATTTCGTGAATGTTAAGTTTTCACTACAAATTGGACGTCGGGGTGAATGCCGTGTATTGGCTGAAACCTTGGACGGATTTAAATGTCTTCTCAAGTATCTTACTGAGAAGAAGCACAAATTTTTTACTTACGACACCAAAACTGAACGTGTGTTCAAGGTTGTCATGAAAGGACTGCCCAGTGGTGAATCCCTGGATCAGATCAAAGATGAACTGGCAAAATTACTTGGAGTTGTGCCACTCCAAGTAATCAAAATGAAAATGAAATCCCGTCCTGGCGATTCGCGCAACGGGATTTCTAATGATTTTTATTTAGTTCACTTCAAGTCTAGTGAACTAAACAACCTTAAGGCCTTAGAAAAAGCTAGCCTTATGCTCCATGTCCGAGTGAAGTGGGAACACTTCAGGAAGACTGGAGGAAATTTCCAAAACCTCACTCAGTGCCGTAAGTGCCAGGGATGGGGTCACGGAACTAAAAATTGCTACATGCCAGCTAAATGCATGAATTGTGGTGATTCCTCTCACGCAAAGGACGACTGTCCTGTGAAGGAAGATCCTAAGAAATTTAAATGTTCAAATTGTGGTGAAAACCACAAATCCAATTTTTGGGAATGTAAGACTCGCAAAGCGATCCTACAATCTCGTTCTAACCGACAGGTAAGAAACGCTCCACGTTTCCGACCAGGTACAAATTCCTCTGCTGTTAACAACGGTCAGCGAGGAACAAATTCTACATTCGTACCCGTAGGTACAAATATCACCCCTGCTTCAAATGTTTCATCTGTACCTACTCCCCTTGCTGCTAACAATGTTCAGCGAGTTAATGGAGCTACCTATGCTGCTATTGCAGCGGGTAGAAATCAAAGTACTAACCAACGTTCTAACGGAAATTTTGACAATTTTGACTTAGGAAGCATTACTGCTCCTAAAATGGAATTTTTACAGAATTCATTAATTGACATGATTTCTGATATGCTTAAATCTAACTCCATGTTTGATGCTATTCAAACTGGAGTAAAATTTGCTAATAATATTGTCATGACTTTAAAATTCAGTAATGGATTTTAAAGCATTAAATATTGTAAATTGGAATGCTCGATCTCTTAAAGATAATGAAGACGAGCTATTTAACTTTTTGCGAGTTCATAACGTGCATATTGCCGTTATAACTGAAACGTTCCTTAAACCTGACCATAAGGTTAAGAAGGACGCAAATTACTTGATTTATAGAAATGATCGTCTTGATGGACCCTGTGGTGGCGTTGCCATCATTATTCATAGACGAATCAAACATAAAATTCTTTCTTCATTTGAAACCAAAGTTTTTGAAACTTTGGGAGTTTCTGTTGAAACAAAATTTGGACAACTTACGTTTATAGCTGCCTATTTGCCATTCCAATGCGTAGGCCAGAAAAAGAATTTTCTAAAGGGTGACCTCCAGAAACTTACCCGTCATAGGTCTAAATTCTTCATTATTGGTGATTTTAATGCAAAACACCGCTCATGGAATAATGCTCAAAGCAATTCCAATGGTAATATTCTGTTTGATGATTGTTCTGCAGGTTATTACACTATTCAATATCCAAACAGCCCAACATGCTTTTCTTCTGCAAGAAATCCCTCAACTATTGATTTGGTCTTAACTGATACATGTCAACTTTGTAGCCAATTGGTTACCCATGCTGACTTCGGTTCTGATCACCTTCCAGTAACTTTTGAAATATCCCAAGAAATAATTTGTAATCCCAACAGCTCTACTTTCAATTACCATAGAGCTGATTGGGAGCAGTATCGAACATTTATGGAATATAACTTCGATCCAAACATTCCTTTGCAAACCAAAGATGAAATTAATTATGCTCTTGAATCTCTGACTACTTCTATAGTTGAAGCAAGAGCTGCCTCAGTACCAAAATGCGAGATTAAATTCGATTCAATTATAATAGACGACGATCTTCAGCTCTTGATCCGTCTTAAAAATGTCCGTAGGAGACAATATCAAAGAACACGCGGTCCTGCCATGAAGGTTATCTGGCGGGATTTGCAAAAACAAATTAAAAAGCGATTCTCTGCCCTGAGGAACAAAACTTTTGAAAATAATATTTCTAAATTAGACCCGAGTTCCAAACCCTTTTGGAAACTCACAAAAATTTTGAAAAAACCTCAAAAGCCTATTCCAGCGCTTAAAGAAGGTGGTAAAATTTTGATCACAAATTTGGAAAAAGCTCAGAAACTTGCTAAGCAATTCGAGAGTTCCCATAATTTCAGTTTGGGTCTTACTAGTCCTATTGAGAATCAGGTTGCTCGGGATTTTCTGAATATTTTCTCTCGGGAAAATATTTTTGATGATTCCTGGGGGACTGATTTGGACGAAGTAAGGTCTATAACTAAAAAGTTTCAAAATATGAAAGCTCCAGGTGATGATGGAATTTTCTATATCCTCATCAAAAAACTCCCAGAGAGTACCTTGTCTTTCTTGGTAAAATTATTTAACAGATGTTTCCATTTGGCATACTTTCCTGATAAATGGAAAAATGCAAAAGTTGTTCCAATTTTGAAGCCGGATAAAAATCCAGCTGAAGCTTCTAGCTACCGCCCAATAAGTTTGCTTTCTTCAATAAGTAAACTTTTTGAAAAGATAATTTTGAATAGAATGATGCTTCACATCAATACGAACTCAATTTTTGCAGATGAGCAGTTTGGATTTCGCCATGGGCATTCAACTACTCATCAACTCTTAAGAGTTACCAATTTAATTCGTTCAAACAAATCGGAAGGCCACTCAACTGGAGTTGCTCTTCTAGACATAGAAAAAGCATTCGACAGTGTTTGGCATGAAGGTTTGATTGCTAAATTGAAAAAGTTTAATTTTCCACTTTATATTATGAAATTAGTTCAAAATTATTTAACTGACAGAACTCTGCAGGTAAATTATCAAAATTCCAAATCTAATCGACTACCTGTTAGAGCAGGAGTTCCTCAGGGTAGCATTCTTGGGCCTATATTGTATAACATTTTCACTTCGGACCTCCCTGATTTGCCTCAGGGTTGCCACAAATCTTTGTTCACTGATGACACAGGCATTTCCGCTAAAGGAAGAAGTCTTCGTGTTATTTGCAGCAGACTGCAAAAAAGTTTAGATATTTTCTCTTCTTATTTACAAAAATGGAAGATTTCTCCCAACGCTTCCAAAACTCAACTTATAATATTTCCACACAAGCCTAGAGCTTCGTTTTTGAAACCTAGTAGTAGTCACATAGTCACTATGAACGGAGTTCCAATTTCCTGGTCAAACCAAGTGAAATATCTTGGATTAATACTTGACCAAAAATTAACTTTTAAAGATCACATTGAGGGCATTCAAGCCAAATGTAACAAATATATTAAATGTTTGTATCCTCTTATAAACAGGAAATCCAAACTTTGCCTGACAAATAAACTTCTAATATTTAAACAAGTTTTTAGACCGGCCATGCTTTACGCTGTGCCAATATGGTCTAGTTGTTGCACTACCAGGAAAAAAGCACTTCAAAGGATTCAGAACAAAGTTCTGAAAATGATTTTGAAGTTGCCTCCCTGGTACAGTACTACCGAGGTACATAGAATTTCGAATGTTGAGACTTTAGAACAAATGTCCAACAAAATAATGAATAATTTCAGGCAAAAATCGTTGCAATCCTCAATTGCAATGATTAATTCCCTTTACACTTAGATAAGATTTAGTTTTAGGTTTTAGTTTTAATATATCAATTGTTATACTGACATGCAGGTTAAAAAACCTGTTTAAAATACTTAATTGCCAAGACATGAACAATGTAAAACACTTAGATATATATCATAACAATTAAGGCTGGTACGTTACTGCAGTAACTGGAGCACCTAGGTTAAAAATGAAATGTAATTTATTTTGAATTTGGAAGAGTTAAAGAGTTAAAAAAAAAAAAAAAAAAGCGGAGCATTGGAGAGAAATGGTATACAACCGTGGCGAATACAAGATGACCACAAAGAAACTATTCAACGCTGTGATCGAGTCTAAATATGAAGATTCAGAAGATTCCGTGAGCACGGAAAACACTGAAGGTGATAGACGATTGTCAGACTTCGAAGGATGTTCGACTCCGGACAGCGAAGAGGAGTGTTTCCACGGATTTGAGCAACTGTAAGTATATTATCAATCACTAAACTAATCAATAACACAAGTACTTAAATGAAATCATAAAACAAGGTTTACAGGTATTGTAAAACATGGTCCTCTGTACGTTTACTTTCCTACTTTTACTATTACTACTGTTACTTCGACTATCCCCTATTTGAAACACTATTCCTCCCTATCCGGAATCTTAAGCTGGATTCACTTGATCCATGTGATTATTATTCTGTGGTGCCAAATCTTTACCTCTACCCTTGTGCAACATGGACAGTGATGTTTCACTGGAGACCTGGCTCTATGAACCCCTTTTGTGCATGAAAATGAAAAATGAAAATGAAAAATGAAAATGAAAAATGAAAATGAAAATGAAAAATGAAAATGATAAATGAAAGTGAAAATGCGAAATAAAAATGAAAATGGAAATGAAAAATTCAATATTTTATAGAATATTACGAACAAGCCGTTCAGCATGGTCTCAAAACCTTCCAACTATTATTTAAAACTTACGAATCAAGAGAATTTGAATGGATGTGAGTGGAGTTTCTATAGCTGCGGTATGGGACTTTTGCCCGAATAATGGTAGATTTTCATATGCATTCAAGTAAAGATTTGATTCCCCAACTATAAAAAATGCTGCCTATTGATGTAAAACGCTAGGGAAAACCCTGCAATTTACTTCGTAATTAAACCATAAAGCAGCAATTTTCCAGTAATTATAGAACCAAAAATGGAAAATCAGGGAATATCAGAGAATTTATTTTTCATTATTGAGTCGACACCCTGTAAATTGTTCCCGAATATTTGCTAGGGACCATGTACATAGAAAAAGATGAAGATTGAGAGAATATCGAAATATAGAGAACTGGATGTATGGGAATCTGAAGGGACTTCTCAAACCATCGAGATAGGAAGAAAATCATTATTTATAAAACCGTGCAATTGACGAATCATTGACCAGGACCGGAATTTTTAAACAGAAATTCAGTTGACACCTTGAACGCTCGATTTTCAACATTTTTCGTAGTGAACGCATTTTTGTGAAATTAGCGACATACGAAGAATCTTTATTATGACTGCCAGTGAGCAACAGTTTAGAAAGTTTCAGCTTATTTAAAAAAAAAATGTGTTTTTTTTTGGCAAAAGGTTTCTTTTAGCTCTAAGTTCTTACACAGTCAACCAAATAAGCCCAATTCTATACCGATAACCGATAAACGGTTGAGCCAAAAATTCAGAAATCTATTTGTTTAAACAATTCTAAAATGTAAGAACAGCTATAGGCTTAATTTTGAGATACACGGTACGTTCTTTTGAAGAGTTGGAGACCTGATTAGAAAGCAGTGATTATTTGAAACTGTAGTATTATCCGGCGGTTCCTGAATCATCATGACAAATCCAACCGAAGCAAACAAATTAGGATATATTGCAAGCAGCTTCAGTCAGCAGTATTTGCTCAGTGCCTTGACAGCATTCAAATTGTAGACAGTTGCATTCATAACAATGTCGAGCGTATAACAAAAACTGGTTTACTTCTCATCATATCGAGACGTAATTCAATCAACCGTGATGAAAACTCGGAAACAGATTTCTCGTCTCGCATTTCAACGATTGAGCGTTTCGAAATCCCAAAGACAACAATCAATTCAAACCAAATCGAATACTCACATGGACATCCAGCGGAGTCGTCAAGCAATGGACAATGTTTGCTGTAATATCTCCAACTTGCAGTTTTGGAAGTCGTTCTGCCAAGCCTGAATCGAACACTTTGATCATGTCGGTTTGAACCATGCCCGGGTGGATACTCTGAAACGTGCCGATTTCAACAGCGTTAATGTAATTTAGACACGCTGCTACTAAATCACTCAACTTACGGTTAATCTCACTGGCAGTTGGAAGTACACGAGTTCCTTCCGTACCACTTCTGCCAGACCAGTCAACGCAAATTTTGACGCTGGATAGGTTCCGAACATCGGTACCGACACGTCCGGTATTCGCTTTCCCAGAATACTGTTGATGATAAAAATATGTCCCGGTCCACCTCGTTCCTTCATATCCTTGACGGCTTCCCGTATGCAGATGCAGGTTGCAACGACATTCACGTTGAACGTATCGCGGAAATCGGCTGACTCACTTTCTAAAATTGAAAATCTTCAAAAAATTTGCTTCTCATAGCACAGCCCAAAACTGTCCACATTACTAACGTGTCACAAAATTACACCGAAACACTCCAGCGTTGGAAATCAGAACGGCGACTCCGCCCAGTTCCTTTCGAATCCAGTCAAACGTCTCCAGGATCTCCGTTTCGTTTGCAACATCACACTTTCTGGCGAAGATCTTTCCAGTGCCGGTCACTTTAGAGCAAAGCGTTTCGACCAGCTCTACCCGTCTAGCTATTCCGACCACCACCATACCGGCATTGGCCAGGGCGAGAGTCGTATCTTGCCCTATTCCAGAGCTCGCACCGGTCACCAAAGCCACTTTACCGAGCCACTTGTCCATTATTGTGCGATGTGTTGTCAGAGTCGAGTCTAACGCGGTACTAAGCTGAATGAACGGTTGTGAGGTTGATTTAAATGATTTTCCCTCGATGTGCGGCAAGTTGAATTGATGTTGACTTTGTTCTTGATTGGGAATATCGGATTACGTTAACCGCCGCAATTCGGGTGAAGGAGGGTAAAGCAGGCCAGCGTGTGCAGGTTGAAGTCTTTTTATTATTGTGGTGACAATCTGATGTGCGGAGTCGTTTGGGTTGTATCATATTAAGTTTTCTGATTCATTGTGCTCCTTCTTTGTCGGTCGATAGGGGCTGTCCGAAAACCGTCTAGCTTATTTAATCCGAAAAGTATAAAATCGATTCGAATTACCGATAAAAGTGCCTGGAAGGGACGGGTGGGAAACATGCTTTAAGATAGTTCGATTGCAGTAAGATAGTCTAGTTAACCATTTACTTCCCAGAAGGTTTTTGGTTGTTTTGAGATGCAAAAATGTATTTTTGAAAAAAGTGCTAGAACAAATCCAGAACAACATGTGAAAAGGGCATACAAGCTTTTTGTAAACAAACCTTCTTATGCCTTTTTCTCGCTACCCATATGACACCAACGCAAACCTTTAACATCACCGGGTAGGGGACACTTTCCCCTTCCCGATGATATTGCTGATTTGCGTGGGCGACCCTCGGTTGGTGAGAAAAGGGCCTACAAAGGTTTGTTTACAAAAAGCTTGTATGCCCTTTTCACATGTTGTTCTGGAAATGATGTTCCTTACAGCGTAAAATTATCGAATCTATCTCAAAATGCTTTTATTTAAAATCAATAGAATGCTATTTTTTCCAATAGTTGCTCAGCTGAATCCTCAAGAATACATGGACAAGCGACATGGACCCAATTTGTAAGCCGTTTTCGTGGAATCAATGCCCAATTCTTGCTACTCCTAAAGTGTGTACCGACCTGGTAATTAATTTCCATGGTTCATCCTCAACAGTAGGGTGGGAGTTTCCAACCATGTGGAATGACAACGTGATATGATTGGTTTAACTTTTAATATGTGTGCTATAGTTAACTCTCGGCTGTTGACTCAGCAACAGTTGTATATCTCGATGTCGATCGCGCTATCGACAGCTTGTTCATTCGATCAAATTATTGCTCGGAGTGCTTTGTTCATTGCTTTTATCGTTGCCGTGGTGTTTTTTCTCCTTTTTTCCGTCGATCTTGTTTTCCGTGCTGAGCACCAATGCGCACACTTAGACGCTACCTATCGACCCATCAACTCATGAACCGGGGACTTCCCTTCAAGGCACGATTAGTGATGTTATGCCTAAGAACATCCCGGCGGCGCCGACTGGGATTGAACCCAGGCCTGCTGGGGTGAGAGGTAATCACGCTTACCACTACACCACCGACGCTGCTGTTGCCGTGGTGTAAAAATAAATAATACCATCAAGTTCAGCTTCACCAATCGAAGTGTGAAACCAGCATAAGTGAATTACCAATTTCGAGAAAGCACTGAATGCAGATCCCGTTCTGATGGAAGCAACTTATCGGATACCAAATTCAAGTCAGAAGAATCGATGTTGTATGGATTAACGTTTAACACGGTAAAGTGAAGCGAGTCATCCGGGAGGAATTCCCTGCGGAGTTGTGCCTTGACATGTATACAGGTGTACGAGGTGTATACTCCTCACTTGATTTCCGCAATCGAAAAGGTAATATATGTTATGAATAGAATAAATGCTTCTTTTTTAAGACAAAGGTACATTGAATGAATTTCTGCCTCATGCGGAAAACCCGGTAGGAACCAGAAAGCAACAACTGGACGAAGAATTAAATCAGGTCGAAGAAAAGCATATTGCTGGTTGGAACTGTGGCATCTTAGATACAGTAATGCCTTGACCGGGGCCTGATAACCCTTTTTGAATATCTTTTCTACTGTTCTACGGAACCCATGGGCTTTTTCAGTGATCTGATTGCAGCAAAGTCGGAGAGATGAACTAGCCTTTGGCTAAAAATCTCTATAATGAAGAATTGAAAAAAAAAAATGCAGCAAAGTATACCTAAAATATCCCTCTTGAAGATGAATGAGAAAGATTTGGAATTACGGTTATGTGAAATTATTCCTATGGTGATACGGCACGTCATGCAACAATGGCTGTCCCTACAATCATTAAATAAACGTGTTTTGGTATGCGTACGAAAGACATCTTCCTACAAAACAGTAAATTACTAATAACATACCTTAAATAATGGGCCTTATTGTATGAATAAGATCTGGATACATATTTTAATACTTTTCCACCAAAATATTGCCAATTCATTCACGCATGGGTAATATTTGCATTAAAAAGTACGATCAGCCGATTTTGTTCTGCTCAGGGCATGAAATTTCAATAACTGTTTTCACTAGCTTCTTCTCAGAACCACACTAAAAACAATTACGACACGTGCTTCCCCGCATAAACGCGAACCATAAATTGACCTTACCTAAAATGGTTAAAAAATGTTTATAATCCCTGCTAAACTTTAACTGAAATGGTTATGGAACTTTACATGAACGTTTAATGATAAAGTTTCAACCTTATGTATTATGGTTTTTTGGAAGTGGACCTTACAAATAATGGGTTGTTAAGAACCATTACCGTTCCAAATTCTTGTTTTCTCCATACATTTTCGGAATATTAGAACCTTTTAACTTATGGTTTGAGAACTTTAATGGTAATGGTTATGGTAGTCAGTAAGGTTCATGAATGGTTTTGTAACATCGATTAACTTTATGTGGAATATATCGCGAATTGGTTGCCTGTAATTTACTGATTACCAATTCACGATATATTCCACGCACCTTACTGACTACCATAACCATTACCATTAATGTAATGTATCTCTTTAAAAATGACGAAGGTTGAAATTTTCAGTAAGATGGGCATAACTTATTCTTTACCTTTCTATTTTTTTATTAACTGTTACACATTCGACCTAATAATAACGAACCCTAGCAGCTATGTTTACGGTAGTTGCGGTAGTGCATGATGTACACTCACACCACTACATCATCAATGATAATCAATTTTCTGACACATAGAAAGGAGAGAAAAAAAGCAAAAAAAGCGGGACGTATCGTATCACCTTAATGCAAATTAATTCTGTACTAGAAACACTGGAATAAGAGACCAGCGGGGAAAAAAACATGAATTTGGCAACAAGATACACATTAAAGCAATTCTGGCATCACTTGCATTTTTAACTGCTTGCGAGTTACTTCGCCAATGCACCGACGAGCGAGTTCATGAGAGATTGTTAAACGATTTTAATACTCCTCTCTAATTGAAGCAAACCATTTGTAAACATTGCAGATTGGAACCGCTTTTGACAGTTCGATTGAAATCATAACAGTGTCTCCGCTGGTCTCTTTTTTTCCTTGATTTGTTTTCCGTCGATCTTGTTTTCCGTGCTGAGCACCAATGCTACCGACGCCAGGGAGGCAGCTCTACACCTGGACCCTACCTATCGACCCATCAACTCATGAACCGGGGACCAACGGCTTTACTTATTCTGTACCAAACAGAAACTCTCGGCTGCTCTATCTTGTGCTGGTGAACGAAGCCACCGCACTAGAGTGCAGTGTCGCCGAGGCATCCGAACCTCTGATAGACGCCGATCATCCAACGTTGGAAGCATTCATCAATCGATCAGCTCCTGTTCTCTATGAAGACATCGTTGATGTACAAAGCCTGGACTTTCGTAGACTGACTTCGGTGCATTGAATCACTCACTGGTCCAGATTGGCAGTCGCTTCACTTGTGTTCGTCCGTTGATGAAGCCGTTAACTACCCAGGTAACCATAGGCACGTTATTTCGCCTTTTTGGCTACACTGCCCATAATCGCATATCAATCCCATATGGATAGGAAATCAAGCAAAGATGGGACTGATATGCGATTATCGATAGTGTATATACGGGCCTCATCAGAACTTGCTAACACTGGTGTAGCCGTTGTTCAGTTGTATATAGCCAAAAAGGTGAAATAACGTGCCTATGGTTACTTGGGTACTTCGACGAAGTTGTGAGTCGATTATCAATGGATTGTGTGCCGCTGAGGAGACCGTCTCCAAAACCTGCATGGCCTAATGCTCGATTACAACACGAAGCGTGTGAGATCAAAGGTTCTTCGCAAATACAGCCACAGCGATTATTTTCGTTAGCAAGTAATGGCTATCGAATGTACAACCATTTTCTATACAAGAATACTCAAGACGTATGCAGAGCCAGTGTTCGGAAAAAAACTCAAAAACTCAAATCTCATGCATGAGTTTATGCTTCTATGAGTTTTGCCTTGCAAAATTCAACGTCGCAAAAATCCCCGATGAGTTTTCAGGTTCAAAAATTCATTGCTTTATATTTTGGTGTTATTCATTGTTATTACTATTGCTTGTGCATCAGGAGTTGGAAAACTTACACAACATGCATAGACATGATATCAATTGACGTTTGAGTAGTTTTTATGAGTTTAAAGCTGGAATGATTTTTCGGCGTTGTGAGTGTGAGTGCGTGAATATGCATGAGAATCTCAAGCGTGAATTTTGTTTGCCGCATTCACACGTGAGTTTATTCTCGCAGGGAGGCTCAATGAATGAGATTTGAGAATGGTTTTCCGAACACCAGACCAATCTCAGGCGTAATCCTAAGCTATTCTGGACGTTTGTGAAGACAAAACGGAAAGAGGATGGACTACCGGTTGAGATTCACCTAAGCGATAAAAAAGCCAACAAGAGTAAAAAACGTTGACTGTTTCAACCCCTGGTCTCAACAATCCTCGCACTTTTCATTTCCCTATGCCTACGGAGGCAGGAGCACAGGTGGACGTCGTACACACGGATCTCAAGGCTGCTTTCGGCCGGGTTGATCATGTCATTCTACTTGTCAAACTCGAGAAGCTCGGTGTCTCTCATGGACTCACTCGTTGTTTTGAATTGTATCTTACCAAAGAAAGCTTTGTGTGAAAATCGGCTCTGATCAATCGGAATATTTTTAAAACTACTCAGT